TACCATCAGTGATACCATCAGTGACAGATGTAATTTTCCCCACAACCAAAAGCCTGAATACCCACCCCTCCCCAAAAAAGACACACACACAAGCACCCATAGGAGAATACGTAAAAATCTGAAAGTTGCAGTGCATGCCACAGATCTTGATTTTACCACAAATACTTCAAATATATGTTAAATGTCACCCCATCCATCCAGACTTCCCCAAGTTTCTCCTCCGAGTTTTTCTGCTCTGGTGGCACCCTTTCCTTAAGCATCACTCCTTTTGTATTTCACTTATACCTATTTTGAAACTGACACTTTTTGGTGCCATCCCCCAGTGAGGGTGTCAACCGCCTGTAAGGGTGTCACCAGGTGTGGTCCGCACATCCTAGTGATGCCACTAATAATTATGCTTGAAATGTCCAAAGACACAAAGGCTATGCTTGAAATGTCCAAAGACACAAAGGCTATGCTTGAAATGTCCAAAGACACAAAGGTTATGCTTGAAATGTCCAAAGACACAAAGGCTATGCTTGAAATGTCCAAAGACACAAAGGCTATGCTTGAAATGTCCAAAGACACAAAGGCTATGCTTGAAATGTCCAAAGACACAAAGGCTATGCTTGAAATGTCCAAAGACACAAAGGCTATGCTTGAAATGTCCAAAGACACAAAGGCTATGCTTGAAATGTCCAAAGACACAAAGTCAAAATTGCTAACGGATGGGCAGTCAAAATGTCTTTCGGCTTTTTTCAAAAGCGTTGCGAACAATGGTTTTTCACCCTAATAAACATTAAAAAAACAAATTATAGAACTACATTATTTAGCCTGAAAGACAGTAGGCTTATCCAAATTGTTATATTAAAAAAGGGTCCCCATCTGATGTCATTTTATCCAAATGAAAATAGAAGTGAATTATTTTATAAGAATTACATTTTTTTACCTAATGAGGATGTCATTAATTCCTGTTGTCAAATTTATGTTGTACTTTTTAATTTTATAATTGTATTTTACAGGTATGAATAGATTCTATAAACTTTTTGAATTTAATCATTTAATAGTCTATGATTTTTTCAGTTCAAATTGATAACTATTATGTTGGCGTAAAAAAATATGTTTTGGGATAATAGCTAAAAACTTCGCCAACCCCTGATATAGAACGATTGAGTGGCAAAGCACCACATTAATAATATGACTGCAGGTCCTTCACCAACAAGCTCGTGGAAAACCTTACATAAGCCCAAGTCAACTTCAAGAGGTTTGCAACAATGTGTTGCATATTGGCCTTTGATTCAACGTTTAGGGCACAACAATAGGCAAACAGAAAGTCCCTGATGATGTCTGTCCAGGCATATAGCCTCTCGAGGTTAAATACTTTACCACCCATTCAGTATCTGATGCCGATCCCAGTGTCTCCCTCTCTGAAAACATCAAACTATATGGTTGAGAAGATGAGGCTGAAAATCACATAGTTTGGGAACAAACGCCAAATGCTTTATAAAGATATGTTCATTGTGCTGAACAAAACCCAAAGTTGGTTCCGAATGATGCAGTTGCTCAAGTACTGGAAGTATCACACTTGTTTAATGTTATTCAATGACTTCACATGTTCGGTGGCAGCATCAAATGGTGGGATATTCTGTCATAGTTTACAGCTGTGTCAAATATCAAACTCAAGGAATTAATAGGGGGCGTAACACCAGCTTATTGGGCATATTCAGCTGGTGTTACACCCCCTATTGGGTTCAATGAATTAGAACAAGTGGTCTAGGGGATTTGATAAGAGGCTAACACAGGTAGATTTTAGACACACTATTGGCTAAAATACAGACAATCAGTGCTCTATATAAATGTTCTTTATTACATGGAATATAATGTGAACAAAGTTTCATGAAAATCTACACATAAAGAAATGAATACAGATCTAACTATCTATCTCACAGTAATAATAATATTATCAACACTATCACAAGTCTAAGTTCCTGGAATTATTATTTCTGCTAACTATTGAATGGCCCTAATCTAGAACTTAGCAATTCCAACGGAAGGCTAACCACGTATAGATATGATCCTTATTTGGTCTCTACCCTTGTAGGGTCCATGTGCCAGTATTTATGGCTAACCACGTATAGATATGATCCATACATGGTTCTGACGTTCCACATTCCTATGTTTGTTTCCTTAGAAAGGAGGGTTTTCAGCTTTGAGGCTTCCAGAATAGCCTGGGTTTGGCCACAAGGCATCATAGGCCGAAATTTGTTGGTTTCTCTTGTTGACGTTTCTGTAGCAATTTGTTTTTATGGATGAGGTAGCTGGTATTATAATTATCATTTGGATTTAATTTAAAACTTAAGTAGGTTTTCCCAAAATTAACAGGTACCGGTACAAAAAAATGAGAAAAAAGTAGGTTTTCCCAAAATTGACAGGTACAAAAAATGAGAAAAAATACTGTAGAAAAAGTATAAAGAATTTATATGGCTATTTGAAACAGGTCATTTATTAAATAAAATGCATCTAACTAGTAGAAAAAAGAAGAAAGGAAATATTTATAAATATAATATGTATTAATTTAATATGTGATTTGTGTGACAGTCTGAGGGAAAATGAGCTGAGACAGCGTCAAGTCAGTACCGTATCAGTATCAGTAACTAAAAAAAAGTTTAGATCTCATTGGAATTTCTAACAACTACAAATTTCTTCATTTAAATTACTGACTAAATGATTAACGTTTGGTTCTTTTTGTAAGACTCTATGAATTACCACTAACATCTTAGTATAACAAATAATAACATAATTATAAACACAAATTCTTACTTTTTTCGACTCATAGCGGGGAGATATAAAACTTGTTCACGAGAGTTATTCCTCTTTAATTAAGGAGTAGCCAACGTGTGGTTCGCATTTATTAATTTTGGAATGAGCCGATAATATCGTGGGTTAAAAACGTGCTGTCTACTGACTTTTAAAACAAATCAAATAGCCAGAATCTTTTTATATTCATAGACAATATGTGAACCATGAAGCCGCTAAAAAAAGTGATTCTCCTAGAAGCGTGAGCTTAAGACGGCAAAAAGGGGGGGGGGGGGGGGGGGGGGGAAGGTAGGGTTCTTAATAAATGTTCTAGGCAGGGCAGGGATTCTTAAACTTTTTGCATCCCTGCATCCCGTCTCAATTTCTAAACATTTCCCGTATAAATTATATTTTAATAAAATTAAAATAATTAAATAATTTCTAGAAACAAGAAAAAAAATACAAACAAATACTACTGGCTTTAATCAAAAGGCATAAAACTGATTTTATTTTTAATGGCAGGAACAACTAGCAAGGGCAGCAAGTGAAATTTATTTTTTGGATCTTTCACTCCACAGGGGGTGGCTTGCACCCCTGTTTAAGAACCACTGTTCCAGGTAAATGTTAACGACACTGTCATAGGTGTTAGGTGCAGTGATTCGATTTCCATGGGAGGTGATTTTTTTAATGGCTTGAAAATGACATTAGTGGATGGTGGATTTTAATAATCGGCGGGTGGGGGGGGGGGGTTGCTGAGAGGTTTGTGATGTTATATAAGGGGGGGGGGGCTAACTTTTTGTGACGATGAAAAGGGGAGGGGGTAAAAATGGCCAAATTGCGTGACGTCATTTATGGATAGCCCTTAACTAGCCACTTATATGCTTCTTAACCACAGGTTGGATATAACCGACTGTAGAAAAAACTCAAAACTTTATGATGTTTTTGCATTCTTTACATGTCGCTATTTCTAATTTCGATTCCATCACTAGGCTAAATATTTGCAAGCTAAGAACGTGTAATATGGGGTTAGCTCGAATAAAAATTATTTGTTTTTAAGCAATTAGGAATGTTAATACTAATACAAGTATCTGTATATGAATTTGTCTCACTGTTTTTTTTGTGTGTGGGTGACACTACATAATATATACGTAGTTAGGCACATCCTGGGATAATCAAATTACCAGAGAACAAGTTTCCATACCATGAACAATGGCCTTAAATGGGGTTGCGAATGGATTTATGTGGGGTCAGCGGCTGAAACAATAGACTAAGAGAAGCAACTAGGGATTTTGCGGGATCCCGGGAGAAAAGCCCTAGGGTAGATTGTAGACTAAGGTGACCAAATCATGAGCTGGAAAAAACGGGACACACCCAAGGAGGGTTGTTGGTGGGGGTGGGATATTGAAATATGCTCAATTTAACTATTTTGAGACCTAGAAATCTTTTTAAATTTACCTTCACTTCAAGTCTCGTGTCTTTCGTTATACATATAAGATCTATGGCAGGGACACTGTCGTTTACGCAGCGTCGGCAGAGTGGTTGAGGGGGAATAGTTCAGTCATCACGTGAGCCCACATCACTACTGGCACTGGCTACACAGCTTGCCTATTTATTACGTGAAGTTATATAATAAATTAGGAAGTTATAGTCATTTGAAAATGTGTTTTGTTTTAAAAACGGGACATTTAGGCGTCCCGAGAGACTTTTTCGGGACACCGGGTACGATCGTGAAAAAACTGAACAATCCCTAGTAGATGAAGATGCATGTTATCGTTGATATTTAAACTATTAAATGTACATTTATGACAATCAGGTTTACTGATGCAACGTAACTGTTGAAATGGGGGCCTTATATAAAGTTGCTGTGACTGTGGGGCTCCCGGTGATAAAACTACGTCACTGGTTAAGGATGTCGGATTATATACTACTATGACTGTATATAAATATAGGCATTATATATAGGCCTAATCATTATTTACTGGTTGCAAAGTTGGAGGAGGGCATTGGTAGGCGCATGAGGAGGACTTTGGGATTGGAGTTGGGTCCTGAGAGATCGTGGGTGAAGGTGAATGACATGAAGGATGAATAGTGGGGCTGTTGGCAATATAAATTATATTTATATCAACATGAATATGAAATTCTAAGAACAAACGGGTATTTTGCTAGTTAGTTTTCAACCTCTCTAACAAAAAAGATCAAATTTAAATGTTTTCAGGATCATTTCCGATGTTCTGTAGTGACCTCCCTTTGCTAGACCATAACTTATTATCTTAATCTTAATCTAATCTAAGTCTAAGCATCTTACAGCACATTCATGGAGAAAGACAGCGATATTCTGCTTAAATACAGAGCAGTAACAAATAAGTTGAAAAAGTAATTAAACATATTTTATCTCATTTTTAGACCTTATTGCCTTATGTTTTGTTTTTTTAAATTGATAACATAACCCTTGTTAGCCTTGTTAAACTATGTTACCACTGAGACATGACTACATGTACTACTATCGACTATTACTATTACTAATAATAGATTAGTATTAGATAATTTATATCTCTTAGTCTGAGTCTCAATGAGTGAGTAGTCTTCCACGGAGCTCTGGTTGACAAGTCTGTAATGGCTGACCCCCTAGAAAACTTGGGGAACAAAACCACCATTCGTTGATTGCATGAGCCTGCTGTGCCTGTTTGTATTGACTGTGTTGGCAGACAAAGAACATGCATTGGTATCTGCCGGAAATTGTAGCATCAGCTATGCAGAGAATTGGTGCCATGACGTCATGTCATTAGGGATACATTTTCATGTAGGGTTCAGGTTAGGTTTAGGGATACATTTAGGGTTCAGGTTAGGTTTAGGGATACATTTAGGGTTCAGGTTAGGTTTAGGGGTACATTTAGGGTTCAGGCTAGGTTTAGTGACAGTGAATTATAAAAGTTCACGGGTCATGGCAACCAAGAAGGCGGCTGTGTGATACGTCATGGCACCATTTGTCTGCATTTACTGTAGCATCTGTAGTAGGCTCTAGGTCTGCCAGCTGTGGAGGGTCTGCAGCTGGAAATGATGGCTGAAACAGAGTAGGGATCATGATTACATTTTGCCGTTTAAGTATATGAGGCTGGTAGTGGCAACCTCATGCCAATTATTCTATTTAGGCCTAGACAGCAATTGAGGGAGCTGTTCCTAGGCAACTGTTTCATCCCAGCTGCTTCATAAATTGGTTGTGAGGTAGAAACCCACTGTAGAAATCCTTGTTAGAGGGTAACTGATGATTTCTTTGGATGGGCAAGGGGAGATTTTAGGATGAAAATATGCCATCCCGACTCCTGGAAAAGTCAACTGCTGATGCTTTGAGAGCAGGGCCACCGGATGACAGGATGTCCTTGGGCTGGGGTGGCCTTTGCTAGTACATTGAGGGAGTGCCAGTGGGGGCTGTCCTGGCAAAGGGAGATCTCCAATGGGCCTCTCGGGCTTAGGGGAAGGTGCTTTGGGGAGGGCATAAAGAGCTAATGTACTATCTCAATGGTGCCATTTTCAGTGTAAATTTTCAGTGAATGAGTAGTAAATTGAATAGACCAAGCCAGCGACCTATTTTGCCATTTCTAAAATATATTTGTTTACACCGACGTTACACCCCCTCTCCCCCACTCAATTCCAAGGGCAGAAAATCATTGAATATTTAAATTCCATATGGTTTATGCAATTGATTTATACAGAGAATATAAAAGTACACAATAAATTCAATTGTTCAGGATCCACCATAGCCACAACAATTTAAAAAGACAGACTCTGCGGGACAGGACTGTTGAAAGGTTTCTGGTATTTAAAGTGGCAAAAGTGATCTACAGGCAGAAACCTAGAGGCAAACGGCCTACCAGTCAACCGAGATTGAGATGGACTGACAAAAAATGTAGAGATTGTAGAGAAGGATTTGCATCAGCAAGACACCTCATTGAAGTTTTTATCACGCAGCACTGTATTATCTTCTTAACTTATTTATTATTTTAATAGGCCTAAAAACCTACAATAATTAGAGTACATGTAGTCTGTACATGAAGACTGAAATTGCAGAAGAAACCACTTTGCTGGCTTTGAGTTTGATGATACAAGACTATTATTAAAAGAAAACACCAACCTCAAAAGTCCCTTCTTTTTATTGGTATGGAGTTTTACTCCATATTTTGTATCCTAATTTTTCAATTTTTTTATGCTATTTATATTACATAGCATATTTCTTAAAATAGAATTGTCATCCGTATAGGAACTGTTGATCTATTTTGATTAACAAGCGATTACCAGAGTCATAACTGATCATATCCTTTTTAATATAAATACTCTAGATTGAGTAACTATTTCATTGACTACAGCTGACTCAGTGACTGATAATCTTATTTTTTTTAAACTGACTCAATGATTTGATCTAGCCTACACAGTCTGGAATTATTCTATTCTCAGTCATCTTAGCTTAGTCTTAGCAGCCTAAATCATGCCCTGTGTTATTTTTGTTCAGTGTAATTGATAATAATTTGGAAAATAAGTCTAAGCTAGGCATAGTTATCATCAACTCTTAGTTGTCTACTTTCAATATTTTGGCTTGAACCAGTTAAATAGTTTCATATTATTGGTTTCAAGTACTTCAAATTTTAAAACTAATTTATGCTTTATTATTGAAATAACACTACACTCTCTTACTTGGCTTGGATCAGCATTTTATGACAAAAAGGAACCATATTAACACTGTTACCTGGGAAGATGCATTAGTGCAGCAATGACAATAACAAAACCAACTGCACATGATCTAATGACTAATGGTTAAAAATTGTATTTTCCAGGAGATTCCTTAAAAAGCCGAATGTTGCAGAGGGAAGTGAACAGTTTGGTAAGCTAATAAAAGGGTTTAATTATTAAATTGTAAATTGAGAATAAGTACTCACTTATTCGTAGTTGAAGGAAGTCTTTATGATTATATTTTAATTTGTACCAGTATATTCATTTTATGTTTACAGCAAGTTTAGCAAAGAACCTGAAAAATCAAGAATGCCCTCAATATGCTGGATTTTGTTGTCTTGCACAAGCTAGGTAAGTTTTATATTAAGATTAACTTATATATTCATAAAGATTATTATTATAATAATATAATATAACTATTATTATAATAGTTTTGACTAAAAACACTTTTTTTTTTCAAAAGTAAACAAATTATAAAATGTTGTCTTTTTTTTCCTGAAAGAACTTATTATTATTAATTTAAGTGGTCTTATATAGCGTGGTACCCCAACCTAAGGCTAGGCTCATTGCGCTTCACATAAAAATGAACAAATTCCAAGTACTAGCGACCCCTGTCTAGCCATGGACGGCACCTAGCAGCATTGAGCATTGTATATCGATAAAAGGGGGTTGAGAATGAGTCGGAATAGTAGAGTTCGAAGAGATATGTCTTGAGTGCAGTTTATGAGGTATGGCAATGACAGTGTCAATGGATTTGACAAAAGTATTTAAATGATTAGTTCTTAAAAGTGTCTGAAGCTACTTTGCGCCCAAGGGAGAGCTAAAAAATCATAGCTTAGAAAGTACAGTATTGGTTATTGTGGGAATGGGCTATAAAAAAATTAAATAAGAAATTGTATTAAAGTATTATGTACTTAATAATTAAACTATGTGCTTGTTATATACATTTATGCTGATAAAAGTCTCTTTTTCTTTTTTGTAAACTTGCATTGTTATTTAAATCAGTGCTACTTAAAGTGGTGGTCTGTGGAATTTTGCTGGTCTACAAGTACCATTATCTCTCCGCTAAAGGGGAAAATTTTAACAAGATAAATTAAAATAATTAAAAAAATTAGGCACCAGTCTCTGCAGCAGCTGTAGTGTGGAGAATGCATGGCGGTGAGACTTACTGAAAATTAAACATTGATTTAAATGATTGAAATGACCACATCACTTTATACATGGAAGAGTATTAAGAACAAGTTTTTTGGTAAATATTGTTTTAATCTCCTGAAGGTGTGAACATACATTATCTAATGCTGCTGGGGAGGCACAGGCCCTTACTGATGCAGCAAGAGCTTTTCTTGAGGCTGAGTTGATGGATAGGGAATTGAGGGTTCCAGGATTTCAAGAGCATTTGACATCATCTATCAATTGTTACAGTCATGCCATCCGAGTAGGTCTATTCTTTAATGCTCATTTATTACATGATAATTATATAGATTAACTTAGGAGCTTATTAATAATTGTACAAGGTAAGTAATTCTTCAACCTCTGAATAAAAAAAATAATAAAGCACAGCTGAATTGCAAAAAATTTATTCAAGTGAAATAATTTGGAAATAGCACTTTGTGTGTGAGGATTAAAGTTTCGGAAAATCCAGTCATGTTTGAGTCCATCCCCAGGTTCTCATGTTTTTTGTGGGAATTTACATGAATATATGTACTGTAACATCTTCACAATTTGTATTTAAAAAATGCATTAGTTCATAAAATTCTTTGCATTTTATGATTTAATTTTTTTTCTTTCTCTGTAAATGCTTCTTTGAATACTTCCAGGTGCACATTGAGAGCAAGCAGATAGCATTAGCTGCTTCTCTTTGTTTAGAAGTTGGAAATGTTTTAAGAGTAAGCTGAATTTATCTAGTTAATTTTATTTCTTTTAATTTAATTATTAATTAGCTGCTTTAATTTATTAAACTAATAACAGTTATGGATGCCAGGTGTCCTGAAATATTCAAACCCTAATTCTTTTGTTTTTTTTATTTTTTTAATCTTTTTACAATCACTTAACTAAAAACATTAACTTTTTTTTATTTCTTTAGAAAGTAAACAGACCAGGGGAAGCAATAGCTCATTACCAAAGAGCAGCAGAGCTCCAATCTCAGGTAATGACGAATATCGCCAATGTTATTAGATATTTTTGCTATGTTGTTTTAGAAAATTATCTTTAAAATTTCTAATGTAACAAATGGTACACAGTTTTTTCTTCTAATTTATTTTTTGCTCACCATTTCATTTTGTCATAGAGTGCACTGGACTGTTTGGATGCACTGAACATGGTGGCAAGATGCAAGATGGACACAAGTAACTAATATATTTTTTGGTTCTTTCAAATAAATATTTTATACATCTGACTTATTAGATTAAAATTATTTAATGATTTATTTTTGCATAATCATGTTTTCAAATGTTTATGATTAACTATTCCTAAGCTTTAGGTAATATTCTCTAATGGATTATTGCAGAAGACTTTGAAGGAGCCCTTGCAGTTTTAACAGAGATGGCTTACCTTGCACATGAGAGAGGAGGTAATATTTTAAAATTATTCCTCATTATCTTTAATTTTGGACTAACTAAACTATGTATTTTAGCAACATAAAAACAATTAACTTAAAGAGGCTTTTTAAAGTCTTATTTCAGAATGAAACAAAAATGATTAATTAAAATTAATTCTGTTTAAAAATCATCCAATATTTTCCATTAGAATGATTCATTTTAATTCATATAGGAAGTCTTTGCGCTAGCAGGATGAATCATCCCTATATGCATCTATTATAAGATTCAACAATGTTTTGTAAAATCTTACATTTACATGATTTTTTGTTTTTTTATTTGGTTCATTATTTAATTTTAAATATCTATAAAGTGATGCAAGTATTTTTATGATAGGATCTTCTACCACTGGTCGACCAATAGGTGCTTATTGTGATATTTTAGCGAAGTGTGAAGTTACTAGAGTTTTACTTCTTTTGTTACTGCAGGTAAATTTTCATGTATTTGTGTACGCTGCAAAGTGTCTTTTTTGTGGGTCTTTAACAGTGTTGGCTCCTTCCTTAATTTAAGTTTAATTCAAAAGCATTTGAGCAATAATTTGATGTAACTGCTTCTCTAGAAGAGTGAACTTATTTAAAGTGTTATGATTTTAAAGGAATTTAACAAATTTATTTTTTAATAATACCACTAATGAATTTTGACAAAATTTAATTGACATATTTACTAATTTAGTCCTAAATGTAACCAATTTGGTTCAAAGTATAAGTAGTGTTTAAAATCTCTAAGACAGTTATTTTTGTACCCCTAACATTTTAATATTGAAATTATGTTAGGAGGGGGTCTTTAATCACTATTTTCTTCATAAGACACTTTCAATGAACTGTAGATTTTGTTTGATGGAAGTTGCATTAAAATATTAATTTTAATGCAACATTTGACCTTGAAACAATTTTACACATAAAATGTACTCCTTTTTTCAGCCAACCCCTCAAAGAATAAGGCCGGAACATGCTCAGACTTTGGAAAAATACACTTGGGAATCATGTGACAGTATCACTGGTGAATATAAATTTTTTTCACTCAGGAAGTTTTTTTTCCAAAACACTACAGTGTACTCCCTTTGCTGATTAAAATAAAGCAATAATAATGTGGAGCTGACACCTGCAACACAGGTCATGTTAAAATTATCATCAAATCGAAATAAAATCTTATGAAATTACAATATAATATACTTACTTGTCTAGTATTTTTTACATTTATTTTCTCTAAAACTCTATATTAATGAATTAATGAATAATATGGTTAGTTTAGAAATTTTCGACAAATTTTCTATTTACATGTGGATTTTTTTTCAAATTGACAGAAATGTACCTTGGAGAAGATTTGTATCTCTTACTGCAGTCAGTAGTGGTGAGTCTTTTTCTGAAAATTTTTTTTTAAGAAAACAATTTTTTTGACTCTCAATTTATGATACTGATACATCTACCTTGGTAGCAATTTCAAATATTTATGTTTTTCTGTACCTGAGCAAATAACAACAGCATATTTTCATAAAATGTATGCACTTACTGCAAAAATGCACTGAGTTGTTTCAGTATAATACAAAATTTATACAAGAAGTCTCATTATCATGAAACATCTTTCTATTTCTACAGATGGCTTGTCAATCCCTAGACCTCGAGTCACTTAGAGCATTACAAAAAGAGTTGTGGCCCCTCCTTGACTGTGAACAGAATCAACTTTTGCATTTAGTCATTCAAGAGCTGGCTCATCCAAGTGGAGAGGGCATATGATTACCAAGATAAGGACTCAGAAAGTATTAATCATCTGTCGAAAATGTCTGAGGACTACAGTCTCAAGCATTAACGTTTGTCATAAAAATGCGGACCGATAACAGAGCTTAGTATAACCTACGTGGAAGTTGTGGTGTGATATTGGACAAGACAAGCTTAAATCTGATGAACTTTTAAATTTTGTCATTTCAAGACAAGATTACATTTTTTCATGTACCAGTAAACTATTAGATTACCTGCTCGGGCAACACAACCACGTTGTGTGTGAAAAATATGGAAAGAGATGCATAAACTATAATAATATTCCAGATGCACTGACTATGAGGTTTCCTTTGGGCACATGGACCATGTACCATTTTACTTTATACTATTTCATAAAGCCCAAGATCTGTGTCCTTATCTGGTATTTCAGCACAAACTGTTTATACATATTTCCATAGTTTCTGGGTTTATCATTATTGCAAAGTACTAAGAGGATGTGACAATTTGGTTGATTTTGAAACTCTGTGATGTAGACATATGTTGTTTTGAAGGTGGAAGCAGGGAATGAGAGTGCAGCATTGTGTGCAATGAGAACGGTATGGACAAGATCCACTCTGGAATAATTATATTTGATTGATTTTTTTGTATATTTGTGTGACATTTTTATTAAAAGTAATGACACAAAATATGTTCTATGCAGACTGGGAGAGATTCTGTGGGAACGCTTAAGTTTTTAATTTCAAATAATTTTATTTCTTATTTTGTATGGTCTGCCAAAGAAGACATTTTGCCGAAACGTCCTTGTAAGTGTTCTGTCTTGTTTTCAAGCTTTAACATATCTTGTTTCACTATGTATTTACTTCTCACAGCTTGAATGAAGCTCCCCTATATATGAAACATTTTTTTATTAGTCTTGCCTATAAAATGTGTCAGTAGCCACTAACCCATTAAAGCAATGAATTTACATGCCAAATAATTTTTTTTAAATGTGACGTGTCCATTTCTGCTCTATGATTAATATTTATTTCTATGCTAACATTGAGCTTTTTTTTCACTACAAATATTGTGTATGAAACATTTCTTTAACAAATTTTTAAAAATTTTCAGTCTTGATGAGAAGTTCTTTATAGTGTAATATAATAATTAACTCTACAATAAAGAAAGAACAATTAGTAAATTGTTCTGTGTTTTTTAATTTCATAACTAAGGATATCCATTTAAATAATCAGAACTGTCAAATAATTGTGGCCTATTTTCTATTAGTATTAATACTTGCAGTACTAAAAAAAGAGATTGATAATGCAGAAAATATCACTCAAAATATCACTATATCATTTGAAAGTTTTTAATTGCTTAGAAAAAGTGCATGAGTATTAATATTATTAATTAAAGAAAATGAATTCAACAGGATTAGCATAGACATGGTCAGTAAAATACTTCAACAAGATTAAAAAAAAAATGTCTAGTGATAAAAACCATACTAATAATCTTTTTCATTTCAATCTCATTTACTGAGAATAAGAACTGAACCATCCGTTTGTTTCCAATAAAATTTAACATTATGAATCAACTGGAAAATTAACAGAACAAAACGATTTAGCCAGAACTGGCCCAAGAAATTCTTTATTCTTGACGGTTGAACAAACACATGACATGCTGATTTCTGAAAAAATTATAACTCCCATGAAATTTGAACAGCAAACAGTTCAAGCATCAAAACTGATGGATGAACATATATAACTAGACATAAATACATTACTCATATATATTAATACAAACAATTTTTAAAAGACTCATGCAAAGCACACTGTAAGCTGTGGATTTAAACCATCTTCAAACCAACGCTTAAGACAGACAAGTTTCTTCTTGCAGTTTCATTTCTAAATTTCATTAAAATGCAACTCATTTAAGAGTTAGTGCTGCTTAAGTCTAAAACGTTGTGTCACCATTAAAAATATACTTTGTAACCACACTCTGAAGCAAATGGATGATGCTCTTTCTTGACTTCTATGTGCTGAATTGAAAATAGAAAAACTTTCCTGCTGTAATAGCTTAAAAATAAATGTATAAACTTTATAATTATTGAGATTGAAAGCATTGAAGGATGATATACTTATTAATTCCCAGTTGTAGTAAGATTGACTAGAGAGAATGCTCATAAAATTTGTTTTTTCACATATTTAAAATCCATTGACTTGGACAAATAATTCAGTTATACTTATTAATTAATCAGAGGTTGTGCATTTCATTTTCTGGTAATTGAACTTAACAAAAACACATAAATTTCATTAACAATGCTATTTCATCAATTTTTGTGGTTAAAGCTAATTGACAAATTGGAATGTTTATAATATCATAAAATACCACATCATTTTTCTAAATGCACAACAAAGTTTTATTTTGAAAAATTGAAATGGATCATTCTAAATGTAAATTTATCAACAGGCTTTTCCTAATCAAATTAACTATTGAGTGTATTGTTTAAGCTGGATACATCAAATCATCAGTCTTTTCCAAACTATAATTTTCCCATAAGTTAAATAAGTTATTCAATTGAAAATTGATAACTAATTCTATCTATAAAAAAAAATCACTGTCATAAACTGGTCCTTGACATTTTGTGAGAAAATAGCAAAGGATGTATATTTTATAAATGACTTATTTACATGTGCTGGCGTATATGATATATATAATAATCAAAGCATTTTTTTAATAAAGTGAAAGCAAAAAGATTTTTAAAATGACACCACTGGAATTTCTTTAAATATTCTTATTTAAGGAAAATAATTACCATCAATTAAAAATCTAATCATAATTTAAAAAAAAAAAAAAACAAGTATTTTACAATTATTTAATCTCAGTCATACATTACAGTTTTTAATATTAAATAGAGGTCTACCTATATGTTATAACATATATGTTGAAAATATACATAATCTAATAACTATCAGCTGCATTTGCTTTGATATGTGCTCTAATTTTAAATGAACTTTTATTATACTTCTCAGCAAAAATGTATTATTTTTAGATTTTTTGGGGGGCTAATACTTTTAAAAATGTATTTTAATTTGATTTTTTGTCCTCTGGTTGAATAGGCTGGTTTTTATCAGACTCGACTTGTTTTCTATCCTTTTTTGGCCTGAATGAAAGCACTGTGGTTCCCAGAGCCAAAAACAGCAACATAACAAGGTGACCCATGAAATAAATGGAAGACCAGTATCTTATTGTGGATTGTAGTTTAAGAAGCAGGAAGCCCATGCACATGTAGTCAAATCCACGCATCTTAAAGAACCAACATGCCCAGTCAAAGGCCATCTGCACCTGAGGTGACTTCCCATCGCGGAATGCTTTGATCATAACTTCTTCAGCCATAAGAATTGGGGGCACCGTTAGGAAGCTTAAATAGTAGCCAGGGTGAATGCCATGCCAGAAAGCACTCACAGCCATTGTTATGGCCACCCTGTAAAACATATTTAAAATAAATATATTAGAATAGATCTAAAAATGTATTCCTTTTTTCATTTTTATAAAACTATATTTTCAACTAGGATTTTTTTTACAAAGATTAAGTAACAAGTGGAATGAGAGTTGACAAAATAATTTCTTTATAAAAATAATAAAGACACTAATTTTCAACATTCCAAAATGAATTTAAAGATTCTGCATGCTCTTATGAATACCTAAGATTTTATTTTTTAGTGATATGACTATTTAATAAGGATCATTAACAAGTAATTTTAAATGGAAATCTTATCCATTTGCATTTCATGTGAAATATGGACGATTGAAAAAGATTTATTCAATTTACCAAGTTTAGTCACATCAATAGTTAATAAGCCGATTGTTGTTTGGATGTGAAACATATTATAAAACTTTTCTTGCAATTGATTCTGCTTAATTTAAATATCACACTTCTATAAAGTTAATAAGTTATAAGGTGACTACCTATGGGCCTTTAAATTGGCTGGGACTCTGCGGTGAATGTAACTGGCCAACCAGTATTGAACAGTCATGTTCCAACTTCGAAGACCTTGCTTTGTCATGGGTGCCAGTTCACACCCATAAATGTCAATGTTGTGAATAGTTTCAAAGTTATAATCACAGTCTTTGCCATCTCTTTCATCCTCTAGACTTCAAAAAGGAAAAAACAATAATAATAATAAAAAATAGAACCATAAATTTGATTTTAAAACAAAATTAACTTAAAAGAAAAAGAGAAAATTTATAAGTACATCAACTTCAGCCAACTATCAATTTCTGTTTTTAGCAAAAATCTTTACATTTACACGATATATCTATATTTAAAATGTCTAATTATTTACATAAATGTATTGAGCTTTTTATCATTATTATGCATAAAACATAATAAATGATAGTATTTATTTATCAATGCATCAATGAATAATACAAATTGTATTAAGCAGGAGGGGGAAAAGCAGATTACAGATCTCAACATAAAAATATCAAAGTGTAGAGAAAGTAGAGGCATATAAGTACTTGAGTGTCACCATTAATAATAAGCTAACAAGGCATGAGCACGCCTAAATGCTGTATAAGAAATTCAACCAAAGACTGCTCTACTTCAAAAAATTGTACAATTTAAGCTTAAACAAACAAGTTGTTAACTTATTCTACAGTGCAACAATTGGAAGCCTACTTAATTTCAATATTACCAGATAGTGTGGGAATTCATCATCTAATATTAAACACCGAATAAACAGACTAATCAAGAAAGCTAGGAACATTAGACAAACTAAACATCCTTCACTTGAAGAACTATTTGAGGAAAGATGTTATTGTAAAACTAAACAAATTTTGGATGATGCATCCTACCCTCTTCATCACAGATACTTAAGATCGGACCATTCGGGATGAATTCTTTCTCTTAAGGAGAGAACTGAAAGATATAAAAATTCTTTTGTTCCCCAATCTGTACAAATTTACCAGCATGCTCCCCTGAATTCCCAAATCTTAATGAGAACTAATAAGTCCCTGCTATGGCTAAGAGAATTCAATGAATGGCTGTTTTTTTTTTTTACACTAGTGAAATAATTTAATGGAGATATCTTGTGTTCAATTTGTTATATGTAAGTGCTGAAAATGTACAACGCAATAAAAAAACATTTCCATTTGTTTGGATCAATAAAAGAATCTTATCTTATATTTAGTTGTGGTAAGCTGTTAGCAGCTTGAACTTATGTGTCCTTTCTTCAGAGAAAAGCAAATTCATATTCCATTTTTATAAATAAGTGTATGAAAATTAAAATTATATTTATAATTTCAGTTTGGAACCATGAAGTCTTGGTTTTTTCCAGATGTTTATAACAGTTGGTTTAACTTACCATAAATCTAACTGTTTATAATCTGTTGGCCCTTCACCGCATTTTGGTGCTGATTTAACTGGATATGCCCCAAGACCTGCTGTCATGGACATTAACTCTGACATAATCCAAGCCATATAGAGGCGCGTCCGGAAGATAATAAACATGGGAACCATATATAGTAACCGAAAGATGAAAGGTCTGTCTAAAAATTCATCTGTTTCTACATACTGAAAATAAATATGGCACAATATTAGTGCTTTCAAAATTAACAAAACATTCATCTGAACATCTTGAATAATATCAGAATAGTTGTTTTCCATTTTACTGTTAAATCTTAATTACAATTTACACTAAATAGAAATTTATTACAAGCATAATTTGTATTATTTGATAAATACAAAATGGCACAATTTAAATCAACAAAAATTAAATCAGCTGAAGGAGATAGATTCACTTAATCATTATATTTTTGTTAGTAATGCACAAGTTAAAATTTAAATTTTAAAAAAATTGTACCTGAATATTGAAGAAGTAAGAGAAAAAGAGAAATGAAATAGCTATAGCAGGAAGTTGCTTGACCCTCTGAAGAAAAGGTTGCTTCCGGTTTAAGTTGGCATTATCTGGAAGGCGCAGCCAATCTTGGTATGTGCGATATTTGTAATATGGGCCTGAAAATAAATACTGTAAAGTTGAAATAATACTTGTAGACATTGCTTTGACAAGTAATAACTTCTGTCAAATCCAAATATTTACCCTTTGGATGTAACGTCACTAAGCCAAAATATTTAACATGCAATAATTCAACTTAATTAATTAAATGATAAATCTCAAAAAAAAAAATTGAAATTGATGCTATTCAACTTTTTCCCCCATATTTTATATTAGAAAAGGGTTATATAATATTTTTATTTAAATGCTTTGTTCCACTATGTTAAGAACCAGTGCATCTTACCAGTCAAAAGGCCAATGTAACAGAAAGCATAGGTTATGATATCTAAGGGCTTTACGTCTATGTTGCAATATTTCATTTTTAATTCCATTTCTCCTTTAACTAAACTGGCAGGATCTATTGAATTTCTCCGCTGGTGGCTGTCTTGAACTTCAAATGCTAGTCCAACCATCTGGGTAAGTAAATAAAATAACTATTTTACTCTGTTCCTGCTAGAAACAAACCGAGTGCATGAATCTGAAAGTATGCTATGGTAATAAAAAAATAGTTTCACTAGGAATTTTTTTTCTTCAAGTCTACAGATAAATTACAAATATTTAAAAGAAAATGTTGAACCTTTTATTAAAACATGAAACAAGATCCTACCCTTAATGTTAAGAATAACTGAGCAGCATTTGTAACTGGTGAAGGGGCTGGTATTCCAAACCAATGAACAGTTCTAAAAACAGCAAGGTAGCCAAAGTTCCAAAGGAAGCTTTTTCCAGCACAACTTCTGGAAACATATTATATAAACCTTAATTTGAAAGCACATATCAAACTTCTGTATCCTCCCCATAACAAACGCAATTACAGTGAAACTCAGATATGACAAAATAATTGGGGTCCACAAAATCGGATTGCATTAATACCCCTCTCCCCCTAATCATTTTAATTCAGGGTTTTACATTATTATAAATGGGAATTTAAAAAAATATATACTTTTAACTTAAATTGTTTTTTTTTAATTTCTTTTTCTTAGTAAGCTATTTGGTGTTAAAGACTATTTTTATTTCATTGTTAGAGTATATGTATACCTATTTGTGATAATCTTTTTTTTCTTGTAATAATGCATATGTGAATGATAAAGCATAGGCCCTTTATGAATATAAAATGTTTCAGGAGCCATTCCATAAAATCCCAATACCATTTATAGCAGGGTTCCACTGTACATTTGTTCTCAACTTATTAACATGCTTTTACGAAAAGAATATTTCATTTGTTAATACTATTATAGGCCTGGCCTAATAGTTAAGTTAGCTAAAATACAGTTAGCGGCATGGCCGGCAATGTCTTCCATTGTATGTAGGTCATGGTTACCCAGGTCAACTACTGGCCATAGTTCAGTTTTTCAAAAGATTTCAAATTTTAGCTCTGTATTCATTTGCTAAAAGTTTTTTTAATCATTTTTTATTTTTGTCTTGAAAATTATTTATTTTCTTATTTTTGAATTGAAAGTGTATGTGTGTGTTGTGTGTGTGGGGGAGGGGTCCTCTCCCCAGAAAATTATGTTGAAATGTAACTTTAAATTGTGAAATTATAGAAATGAACAGCATACAGGTTAACCATTTTTTACCCAATCAAAAGACAACAATTTTAGCATGTTTTTTGTGGAGTTTATCTTGGGGTATTAGCAAGGATGAGTTTCTCTTTTTATAACTGTAAGTTGAATGTTAATATAAAGGAATGGAAAATTTAATTTTAATTTATTTTATACCATCAATATCGATCATCATCATCATATGTTTATGACACAAATGATGCTTAGTGAAGAATGGGAAAGTTATCATACTCTTACTTATTAAGTGTTTCATTTTTCTTTTTCAGGACATTTATTTTCTTTAAAAAAAAGGTAACTATTAATTTTTGTCATATTATAGTATTAATTATAATTAATAACAGCAATGATATTAAATTTGTTGTTGTTTCCGTAAATGTATGTACCTGACTCATTTTTTTAAAGAATATTTTTCATTTTTTTTCTTTTCACATTATTTTAAATTTTTATTCACATACAGGTAAATGTTAATATTTAGTATTAGTGCCAGGTATTAGTATTTATTTCAAAAATTATTTTGTTTAAATATTAAATGTAGTGACCATTAACTTTTATTTTGTCTACCATATATTACTTTTTTAATATCGTTTTCCATTTTTCTTTTTCAGACTGTTATCTTATCTCTCAACGCTATTGTTCATTATACTTTCTATTGATTTAGAATTTTTTAATGTGTGCATACATTTTTACTGTTGGAACCATTGATTTTATAATTTTTTAAAATTGATTTTGTCTTCATTACTCTTTTATTACCTTTCCAATTCTTCTTTTTCAGGCTGTTATCTTTTCTTTTAATGTTTACATATCTTTAGAAAATTATTTTGTGTAAATAGATTACTGTGAGACCCAATGATTTTCATTTTTACTTGATAACTTTTAAAAATAATTTTTAAATTTTCCTTTTTAGGCTATCTTTAATCATTTTTATTTTTTATTTTATTTTTTCAGGACATTTATTTTCTTTAAAAAAAGGCAACTATTAAATTTCATATTATAGTTTTAATTATAAATAAAACAGCAGTGATTAAATATTTGTTGGGTAGCATTGCTTTAATGAATGTACCTCTTACTATTTTTTTTTGACTGCTGGTGTATTTAAAAAAATTTTTCCCCCCCCCCCCCTTTTTTTTCTTTTCAGAATATATTAAATTCTTCATCTCACACAGGTAAATGTTAATTTAATTGGTAGTGGTTTAAAAGTTATTGTCTGTAATTTATTTACAAACTTACCGTTAACCATTTTATTGTTGTCTGTTTTGACTAAATATTTGAATAGTTTTTTAATAACATTTCTAAATCTCTTTTCAGGATGTTATATTTGAATAATTTATTAATATATCTATATTTATTTTCAGGATGTTTTCAGAGTCCCATCAAATAAGTAGTAGCACTGATTCATTTCATGTATTTAGTTTATTGTGTGGACCTTTGATTTAAAAATAAAATTTTAATAATTTTTCTTTTCAGATATTTTAAAGTTCCCTACAGAACATAAATTAAATAATTAAAATTGTATTTGATATTGTTATTGTAAGACAATGGAATTAACCTGCAATTTTTTTTTTTTTTTAATGTAAAAATTTACCCATACAATTTTTTTTTTTAAATATTTTATTTTTACTTACCCTGCATAAACATTTTTAAGAATAAAAATTTATTATATAATTTGAAAATGTGGTGTTCATTGTGTTGTATATTGCATTAAGAATATCTACTGAAAATTTGGTATCATTATCTTTAAAAATAAAAAAGTTATGGGGAAAAAAGTGAAAAAAATTTAAAAGTGGGTCACAAGTTTTTTGGCCGCATATATAGCTTATATAAGGAGCATACAAAATTTGACAAAAAAATCATAACTCCGGTTCTATAAAAGATAGAGAGATGAAATTGGTGCTGTTATAAAGCTTATAGCTAGCCCTTTAAAATGATGTAACATTCATGGCAATTGGACAATATTTAAATTTTGTGTCAAAGTACCTACTCTTACACATTGTTCATGTCAAAATGTTGGTAGGTACTGTCAAATGTTGGAATTCCCCAAAGTGACGTCAATGCAGTTAGGGTGAGACAACTCTTGTCAAAAACCATGACACAAGCAACAGATTTACCGTTACTTTAAAATATGTTTTAGTTTTATTTTAACTTCATCATTTTCATGCTTCATCATGGGTTGACTGAGTTTAAAGAGAGAGAGGAGGAAAAAAGGTTGATCACAAATAACTATTCAAAACAAAAATGGTCATTTACAGCAATCCCCGACATGACATATGTGTGTGTAGGATTCTCTCCCATTTGTTTATTCTTGTGCTGTTATTCTATTTATTTTTTCTTTGATATGACTATTGGAATGTTTTAAATTAAAATTTCATTGGTTAGTTAATTATAAAATATAAATTTTCCGGAATTTTGGAAAATGAGTATGAATTGCTTTTCTGACAACTTTTAGATTTTCTTTTTGGTGGAACATGAAATAAAGTGTGTAAAAGTGTAAGCTATGAAACTGTAATTCATTATTTTAAAATTAAATTGTATCGTTTTTCTTCCTTTTTTACAGTTTTCTCTCAACAGTGTATAACTGTAGCCGCCCATGTGTTTTAGTTGAGGAGCATGTACCAGCTGAAATAACACGAGAAATGGGGGCGACCGCAAGTCGTTGACACTTCTTGCAGAATATTTGAATGGTTACAATAAAGTTGCTTTGCTTGCCCAAAATTTATGAACCAGCCGAGATACTGAAATTATTTCATTAAATTTTAAAGTTTTCTCTCTCTATTGTCATTTCTCTCTGTAAATAGCTAAACCAGCACATTCTCCTACTTTCCCCTCCTCATTTTAGCAGAAGTGCTATACTATTTTTAAAGGCAGTGCGCGCCGGACGTCTATCTCCCGCACTATGTGTCCGGCGACCAAGTCACATGACCGCCGTAACAAAGTGGCGAGAGATATCGTGTCGGTCAGCCTTGTCACGTGACTGCGAATAATTCAAAACTATTGTTAATTTTAAAATCTATTTCTCTACCAAGTAATGTACTGAGTATCTTGAATGCAAATAATAGAAAAAGAAACTTAAGTGAAAGTGGCTTGTAAACATTTTTGTTTAGTTTGTTATTTTTTGTGTACCAGTAATCCATAAAATAAATTAGGGGCCAGTGTGGCAACCAATAAAAGTTAAAGATTTCATTTTAAATTATTTCAATTGCTACAAAATATTTAAAAACTTCTCATGAAACTACTGTTGCTGAGGAACATGATAATATAAATATATACAAAATATTTTAATTAAAATGGGAAGAAAAAAAACGACCCTATCCCCGGTATAGATCCTCAAACATTCCTATCGTCAAGCAACCACTCTACCACAAGACCAGACAAGATGTACTAAATCGTACTTCGTTTGGAATTATAAAAACTACTAGCCGTCCGGCCATGTCCGGCGGTCACGTGACAAGTCGCCGGACGTGTATCTTGCGCACTACACGTCCGGCGCGCCGGACGTGTAGACACTTCGATTTTTAAATGGCTGCCATGACCCGTCACAGATCATGGCAACCAAGATGGTGGCCGTAGGAAACGTCATGGCGCAGATTGCGCAAATTTACCCCAAAAAAAAGCAAACCTTTCATTCTTTGAATGTGGCACAATGCTCAAAATTATGCAGTTTCCTACTACAGTTATTAAAAGGTGAATAAGGTGATATCCACAAGTGGCCCAGAGCATGAAGAGACCCAGAAAGGTGGAGACATATCTTCTTGAGTGTGCGTCTTTCAAAACTTCACGAAAAAGAGGGCCTGATCCTACTGAAACGGCCATAAACAATGTATAAATGGCATCGTCTGAGATCATTTTGTTTCAAATCTTCATTAAAATATATTTAAGCTAACTTATAGAGAAGTTAATATCGAAGGAGTGGTACACGGTAAAGCTTTGTTTACTGTTGGTCCATCTCGTTACCGACATCAGAGAAAAAAATCGAGATGATTTCGAGAAGGCTTGATCTCAATTTTGTTAATAGTATCATTAGTTGCTGTACAGTGATCACAGACCAGTGTGTCGTATTTTTTTTTTTTTAAATTCAGAAGTGGGCACAAAATAAATTGAAAATGAGATTTTTAGGAGCTGAGAAAAAATAAAAATCTGATGAACTTTTAGTTAGTTCATGTTATTGTGACGTGTCATGAGTAATGTAGCCAATGTTGTGAAGGTTTGTGTAAAAAAAAAAAAAAATAATAAATCAATATAAATAAAAATGCGAGTGCGAGATATTAAAAGCGTATTGTATAAGCAGATGTCATGATTTTATTCTAAAGCAACTAAATTATATTAAATCGACATTTTAAATGATACTACAAAATATTGTAATGATGTGTAAATCATTTAATGATTACTACGATTTATAATTTTCTGTTTATATAAAAAGAACGGACAATTATGTTTGATAGGTAGGCCTACTACTGGTAGGTGTGTCTAAAAGATCTCATGAACTGAAATCTGTGTAAAGTTCTAAAAAAAAAGTTGTTGTTTTTTTCATTATCAGCTTTCAGCACTATTGTTTTTTCCCCCGGTTTGGTTTGTTAACTGTTTTGCAAACACATATCATGTTGTTATATCTTGTATTTTTCAAGTTTTACCTTTAATACACACTTATTTCATTCATATTAGCATTTTGTGAGAATGAAAATAGCATAGGCATAGGCGTAGCAAATTCTGAAATGAATGGATAATTTTTATTAATGTAACTATTTTTTTATAACTCACTAAAGAAAGATTAGGTTTGGAAAAACTCACTCTTCTTTAAGTGAATTTTCTTGAGTGAAATTATTTTGTGGGGAATTTTCTTGTAGTGAATAAACCACCTACTCTTAAATTGATATAATTAAACATATTTAAAAATATCAACCAAAAGGCCAATTTATGAGGGCGTTTTGGGTTGGGTTTTTTTTGTGGGCTTTGTGTGTGTGTGTGTGTGTGTTTTTTTGTTTTTGTTTTTTTTTTTAAATCTGCTTTTGCGACATACTTAGATTTACCGTTCCGGCTGTGTTTTTGATAGTAAACAGGAAATTTTGTTTGCAATTAATTGTTGAAGTAAAAGCCACCCTTATTGAAAAGGGGCTTGTCCATATACCAAGTTAAGCAGGAAATCATTGAATGTAAAGATAAACATAAATCACACTTGCCAAAAATGATTGACGGTATGATGGATGATATAGCGGATTTAAAACATGACATAGACAAGAAGCTAGAAAGGGTAAATTAGACTTTTCTTCATCTATTTTCTTTCACTCATACTCAATGAATCATTGTCATTAATAATTAATTATAAAATTAGCCTTAATTAGGCAATTAGGGCTTGTACTTTTATCACGAAATTGGTTGGCAGGAAAACTGTTCGACAGAAGGTTGTTACAACAGAAATTTGTTGTTTTTTTTTGCTTCAATAGTTTCTGGATCTTCCAGCACACCCTGGCACCGCCCTCATCACCCTTGTTCCCTTTTTTTAAGAACACCTGCCCTTATACTTCTAATTTAGTTTTAGCTGTAATAAAAATGTATGAATATTACTAGATACTTCACCGAAGCAAGGGACACTCCTAGGAAATTTGTATTGGAAATGGCCATCGGCCCAGTAGGATCCGAGTTTTTAATTTTTTCATGTGCATGTAATTTGAATAAATTAGGAGTCATTTTGGCCCATAATTAAGGTTTGACTCCGCCCATTAACATTAGGAGAAATGTTGAGCTACATTCCCATTGAGTTAATTTGTTCTTTATCTCAACTTTAAGTGAGGAAAATCGTTTGTCAATATTAGGCATCTTTGCATTAAAAAATTCGGTCTAAATATTCAAAGTAGGTTATTCATATTAAAAGTAGGCCTGCATAAGCCTGCATAATTTGTTGAAGTAAACGTGTGCAAAATTTCATTGAGATAGCTCACGAAACATTTTCACAATTCTCCTCAACGTTGATCTCATTATGCAAAGGTCGCACAGGCCATTTTGGATTAGTGATCCCGCCCCCTTTTAAATGGCGGAAAACGCCGATACTTATCTTAGGAAATATTCATTATTATACATCAAAATATTTGATAACTTGTGTTTCAGAATGCATTTTGAAAACATTTAGACTAGAATTGTTAAATTTGAGCTTTAAAAACCCGGTAGAGTCCATATTATTAGCGATCAGAATTAACAGTGTGCAAAAAGTCATGGGAAACCACAGCCATTTGCATTATGCTATGCCGTAGTATTACCGACTACCTCAAGTTTCATTCATAAGAGTTTGCCGTGTGCAAAAACTATTAACAACATTGGTCAGGGAAAGCTTTAGTTAATTAGTCATGTGCCAAAGTTGAAAGTTCAAAATAAGTAGATACCAAACAACATTTTAGGGTGTGCGTTGCCTTATATAGACTATATAGCATTTACCGGTATAATGGACGCTGAAGATTTGGTAAACAGAAAAGCCATATATTAATAAATTATATTAAATTTACTGATATAAATAGTGCATAGTTAGATAAGCTACAATTTATCTATAATTGTTAACATTATTAAACTTATTTTTTTAATACAGCATTAGTTCTGAAAATAAAATCATCATTAAAACAAGAGTTATATAACTCGTGACGCGAACATCGGAATTGGGTACCAGAAAATGGAGATGCGGTCCATGTTAAAAAGAGACAAATTAAGTCGTACCTTAAAAATTCATAACTTTAAAACTACAACAGCTAAAAATATGATTTTGGTGTTATAATTCTTTTAAAAATTAGCTCTATTCAACTATGCCATTGGTTTTGTTTTTTTTTTAAGTTTAAATTTTTGTTTCAAAGTATCTAATAGTATTAAGCTTTAATGCTATATAATAGTGAATAAATATCACACATACATGGCTTAGCTTTAGAGGCCGACCGAATTTCGGCTTCGGTTTCGGCGCCGAAAGTGGCCATTTTATCAATTTCGGCCAAGTTTCGGTTTCGGACGAAACTGGAAAGTTAACTTTCGGCTTAATTTCGGTTTCGGCCGAAAGAGAAAAGTTAACTTTTGGTTTTTCTTCGGTTTCGGCCGAAATTGACAGACTTTCGGCCGGATCTCAGTTTTTCGGTCATTTAATACTAAGCGAAAGCAATATTTTACAACAAACTAAGCGACATTTAATAACAAATTAAGCGATCTTTGAGAACAAAAAAAAATGATATTTAACAACAAACTAAACGGCATTTATGAACAAACTAAACGATCTTTAAAACAAACTAAGCGATTTTTAAGACCGAACTAAATGATCTTTAAGAACAAAACAAATGATCTTTAATGATTTATAAGAATAAACTAAGCTATCTTTAGCAGAAGACTAAATGTTCTTTAAAAACAAACTGAAAGATCTTTAAGAACAAACTAAGCGAATTTACAACCAACTAAGCGATATTTATGAACAAACTAAACGATCTTTAAGAACAAATAAAGCGATCATTAACAAAAACTAGACGATCTTTAACAACAAACTAATGCGATCTTTAACAAAAAACTAAACGATCTTTAACAACAAAC